ATATTTTTATCATACTAGTATAGCCAGTATTGTTTATTGCTGTAGGTTTAAGTCACCAGTAGCCTGTATATTTTTATCATACTAGTATAGCCAGTATTGTTTATTGCTGTAGGTTTAAGTCACCTGTAGCCTGTGTAGTTTTATCATACTAGTGTAGCCAGTATTGTTTATTGCTGTAGGTTTAAGTCATCTGTAGCCTGTGTAGTTTTATCGTACTTATACAGCCAGTATTGTTTATTGCTGTGGGTTTAAGTCACCAGTAGCCTGTGTAGATTTATCGTACTTATACAGCCAGTATTGTTTATTGCTGTGGGTTTAAATCACCCGTAGCCATAGTTTACACATCGTTCAATGTTGAGACCTATCAACTGATCTTCTGCTGTATTACTGTGATATAATTGTGTCAAACATACCGACATTTTATGTGCAAAACTATTTTATTTAAGTTGAAACTAATCTTTACATATGATAAAAATAGAATACTTTACAATAAGATGAACTGTAGTATCCTTTATACTTTTAGTTTACATACAACGAGTAAAGTTGAACAGTGTTCGAAGCAGTTAGATACTTCCAGACTACAAAACAGCTTTATAACATAGCAGGGCTGTCATGTTATGTACAGAGGATCAACTTTACTGGTTAGTTTAAATAGTAACAAATCAGTACTAATTCAGTGTTTAAAATTAATGAAAAAAATCACAAACTAATAACAGCCACAACAGAATTTTAGTTTTATTAATACTAATAAATGACTTTAAAACACGAAATCTATTTTTCTTTAATTGGACACTCAACATTTCTTCCTTCATGAGCATTCTGCAAAAACACAAACTATAACTTACAGTACAAATCTTTAGTTGGCGTCAGTAGTTTGTATTTCTATAGCACGAGTTTGAATATTAAGTAGTGAAGCTTATTGTTGGAATAATTATCTGTTTTAAGTTACAGATTGATATACAAAAGTCATCATAATTACAGGTGCTTCTGTTAGTGTACTTAGTAAGGATTTGTAGGGAGTTATTTGATTAGTTGAAAAATGATCCAACTGTTGTTGTTTATAAAATCTTTAATCAAAACTATTTTCAGTTGATTCACAGTTTCCTTTCGTTTTATTAAATATCTCACTCATTATATTTCATTGATAACCCCCTGTTTGTAACTAGAAAAACAGATCTGCTAATATATAAAAAAAAAGGGGGGGGGGGGTATTTTCCCTTCTTTTCTGTTGCCAAATGGTGTACTATACAACAGTTTCTAATCTAAGCAGATTTTAGAAACCTGACCTGGAGACATGGAAATTATTTTACACAAGATCGATTTTTCAGTTATAAATGGAAGTGAAGCAGAGTATACACAATTAGTTACTACCTGAAAGATTATACACATCATAAAACTAAACTCTACGGTACACACAGTGTAGGAAACTCCATTACTTTAACAACACGTTATGTAGTACAAGTACACACAGTGTAGGAAACTCCATTACTTTAACAACTGTTTAACACACGTTATGTAGTACAAGTACACACAGTGTAGGAAACTCCATTACTTTAACAACTGTTTAACACACGTTATGTAGTACAAGTACATGCTGTAGGAAACTCCATTACTTTAACAACTGTTTATCACATGTTATGTGGTACGAGTACATGGTTGTTAAAGTAATGGAGTTTCCTACCGCAACCATTTATCAAGTACAAACTGCAGGAAGTTCCACTTCTCTAACAACTGTTTTGTTGGACTGAATTTTTGTAAACTGTATTTTTGGTTTTACAGTATTGTGTATATACCTAATACTAAAATGGGTTATTTTTTAAGCTTCCAGACCATTAAATTTTCAATAGTCCTACTTAAAGATTGAAGATTTTATGCTCAATATTAATGAGCAATAGTTTAAAAATGATGTGTTGAAAGTTATGCATGTAACACTACACAGCATCATGAAATTAATATTTAAAATTGATTATTTTAGTTCTTAACTGTATAATTACTTTTATCTTGTGCTGTTGTAAGATATTTTGCCATATTTCACTTTTCTCTATACATCATTCAATAAGAAACTGTTGTCATTTAGTAATTATATACAACTTAACCTTTTTATCAAACCAAGTCTTTCCTGTTATCTCACAGTTTGAGCTTGCTTCATGTCTCTTGTTTCTACATCTAGATACCATACGTTCTCAGTTATTCCACTAAACTATCTCAGTCTTTTGTCCCAGCAGAATTAAATATGATTTAGTAATATACAACAGAAACCATAACTCTCAACAGTGAAATAAAGAACACAGCCAACTGCAACAATGATTCTAAACCTAACTTAAGCATTTGCATTAATTGGTGTCAGTTTTAAGTTTGCAAATAAAACACTGACGGGTATATTATCATGTTTCTTCTCTAAACAGTAAATCTTTAATACAAAAATAGTTATCAAAGCTCTGTTCTCAGATAAACTTCTTGATCACGATTTTTCAATTATGCATCAGATGTTTGGTTCCCACAGCTCATCTTCGATATCAGAGCAGAAAGCGGGCCTTAGAGCAGCTCGGCATAATCCCCAGAACTGTTGCGGCTCCAATTTACGGTTAGTGGTAGTAAATTTCCACCCAATATGGTTATCACATCCACTGCACGAAGCAGCAGTCCAAGCATACCTTTAAACAAATCACAAAGATTATGTACTTTGACAATAAATGATATTAGTATACTAATAATGAAGTGCATGTAGCAACTCCATAACACTTGCTGTATGTTGAATGTAACCATAAGTTAGCAAGTGACAATATTCATATAAAGGTGGGGGGGGGGGGGGGTCATGCAAAAGCAAAACAATATTCTACAATTATTCACCATGAGTTTTTATTTTTTCAACATGTTTAACTTACATACTTAAAAATGTGTATATATCTGCAGAAGGCCTTCTTATTTCATAGTAATGTTTTATGAGAAGCATGATGTATTGAAGCAATATAAGAAAAATTACTAAATAAAAGCCTAAAACATTGAAGATAAAACTCGATATAATTTACTTTAGGGAAAACTCGCAAAATGTCAATCATAATGGAAAGTTTTCTTTCCACAGAATTCTGGCTAAAATTAAAGGATATAAAAGTATTGGCCATATGTAACAAATGGAATGTACAGATATAAAAGGAATGGACCATATGTTACAAATGGAATATACAGATATAAAAGGAATGGACCATATGTTACAAATGGAATATACAGATATAAAAGGAATGGACCATATGTTACAAATGGAATATACAGATATAAAAGGACTGGCTATAACCTTACAAATGGAATATACAGATATAAAGGGATTGGCCATATGTTACAAATGGAATATACAGATATAAAACGAATTGACCATATGTTACAAATGGAATATACAGACATAAAAGTATTGGCTATACCTTACAAATGGAATATATAGACATAAAAGTATTGGCTATACCTTACAAATGGAATATATAGACATAAAAGGATTGGCTATACCTTACAAATGGAATATATAGACATAAAAGGATTGGCCATAAGTTACAAATGGAATATATAGACATAAAAGGATTGGCTATAAGTTACAAATGGAATATACAGATATAAAGGGATTGGCCATATGTTACAAATGGAATATACAGATATAAAACGAATTGACCATATGTTACAAATGGAATATACAGATATAAAAGTATTGGCTATACCTTACAAATGGAATATATAGACATAAAAGGATTGGCCATAAGTTACAAATGGAATATATAGACATAAAAGGATTGGCCATAAGTTACAAATGGAATATATAGACATAAAAGGATTGGCTATATACTATAAGTAGAATACAGAGATGTAAAATAATTTATGAAATATTACAAGTGCAATATACAGATACAAGTTATAGAACTTTAGCTAAAACATTTCTTATACTATAATATGTTTTTGATTACAATTATTGGCTACAAAAACAATAATTAATTTTCCTAACATACTTTACAGGCTACCAATAATAAAATTCTTAACATATTAAAGAAGTACCAGCTGTGACTTGCAAAACCTAAGTGTTAGTTTCATGCCCTTTGTTTGAATTTTACTTATTCTGTGATTTTTATGCACGGCATTTAAGCTATGATTTCTTGCAGGTATTACGTGTTAGACTGATGAATCTTGGTCTATTTAAAAATTTTATGAGGTCAGACAAAGGAACTCGTGTAGATGTAACTTTATTTAATAAAACTACACAAAAAGTAAACAATAAAGTAATGGTATTTATAATAGTATACAGAGTGTTAACCAGGTATGAGTGTTCAGTGTATAACATGATTTTACACAGTGTTAACCAGGTATGAGTGTTCAGTGTATGACACGTTTTACACAGTGTTAACTAGGTATGAGTGTTCAGTGTACAACATGATTTTACACAGAGTATTAACCAGGTATGAGTGTTCAGTGTATGACACGATTTTACACAGAGTGTTAACCAGGTATGAGTGTTCAGTGTATGACACGATTTTACACAGTGTTAACCAGGTACGAGTGTTCAGTGTATGACACGTTTTACACAGAGTGTTAACCAGGTATGCGTGTTCAGTGTATGACACGTTTTACACAGAGTGTTAACCAGGTACGAGCATTCAGTGTATGACACGTTTTACACAGAGTGTTAACCAGGTATAAGTGTTCAGTGTATGGCACGTTTTACACAGAGTGTTAACCAGGTATGAGTGTTCAGTGTATGACACGTTTTACACAGAGTGTTAACTAGGTATGAGTATTCAGTGTATGACCCGTTTTACACAGAGTGTTAACCAGGTATGAGTGTTCAATGTATGACACGTTTTACACAGAGTGTTAACCAGGTATGAGTGTTCAATGTATGACACGTTTTACACAGAGTGTTAACCAGGTATGAGTGTTCAGTGTATGGCACGTTTTACACAGAGTGTTAACCAGGTATGAGTGTTCAGTGTATGACTGTAATACTTTGCAAATAAAAAACTAAAGTTGAAATCCAAGCAGTCATCATGTGATAACAACAACATTGTACCAATGTGTAGTATACTCATTGCATTAAAAAGTTTGACTAACCAAAACTGTTAAGGTGATTCTGAGTGGAAAAGCAAATATGCAATGTGAACTTCTCAGACAAAGGCATTTCTAATGACATGAGATTTATAGATTTTATCGAGAAAAGTTCCAGACAGACAAATGCAAGGCCATTAGTCACACAGATGAAAACTGTTACATTGTAACATGTATTATCAATTATTCCTTTTGCATGTTAACTTACCCAGGAAACCAGCTTTGTTCTGTTGAAGGACTTCCAAATAATAACAGTCCTCGAGCTTTATAGGTTGTTATAATCTCGTGTACATAACCACTAGGGTTGACATAAGTCCCTTGGGGACCTTCTAATGACATGCTAAATATGTCATGCCGGTTGGCAATATCTATGTTGCAAAATATGTCTAGACAACAAAGTGTTCTATACTGTAGGAAAACAACACAAAAAATAAAATTAATTACTTTTATTAAGCCTATCATTTGTCTTTTACAAAAGGGAAAAGGTAGCTTTAGCAAGAAATATCATGAGGTAATATAATTTCTAAAATCTCTTGAAAAGACTGACTATTGTAATGAATTCATTGTACTATTTCATGTGGAAACAGAAAACTTTTAAAACCTGTTCTGCTTAAGATAGACTAGCTATTTTTATGAAAAGGCTTATTTTCTCTGCTTATAAAAACCACTATTTTTAAAATTCCCCCATTTGACAAGACCTTAATTTATAAAAGAGGAATCATTTATTAAGTAAAGGAAGATGGTCAGTTGTTCAGTAATTATTTACCACATCATGAACACATCCTTACTGACCCTTTATTTAGTGATTATTTACTAAAGGATGAACAAAAGGGTTTCCTAAAATACTATTATGGTGCACCAACACATCCTTACTGACCCTTTGTTTAGTGATTATTTATCAAAGGATGAAAGAAAGGGTTTGAAAGGTACTTGCTGTAATGCTGTGGCATCTGAACATTAATCATCTCATAATTAGTAGCCTATATGATCAGCTAATTTTTTTTTTTTGCATTTAAAATTACATTCTTGAATACCTAAGTATAATTATTAATTTGTAAATAATTTTATACATAAAACTGTAAGATAAGTACTAATTAGTTTTACCCTGTGTCTTGGCTGATGATCTGTTGCCATCTTCAGGGGAAGTTCAGAGAAGGACAATTTCTGTATTTGTTTGTTTGTTTCAAGTTTTTCCTCTCTATTGGAATCAACATTCACAAGGGTGTTGTAAAAGGTGTCCTTCCTTTCTATTGGAATCCACATTCACAAGGGTGTTGTAAAATGTGTTTTTTTCTCTCTCCTGGAATCCACATTCACAAGGGTGTTGTAAAAGGTGTTTTTCCTCTCTATTGGAATCCACATTCACAAGGGTGTTGTAAAAGGTGTCCTTCCTCTCTATTGGAATCCACATTAACAAGTGTGCTGTAAAAGGTGTTTTTCCTCTTTATTGGAATCCACATTAACAAGGGTGTTGTAAAAGGTGTTTTTCCTCTTTATTGGAATCCACATTCACAAGGGTGTTGTAAAAGGTGTCCTTCCTCTCTATTAGGTGGTTTGGTATGTATTAACTTCACTCATGGCTTCTAACATAGGGAAATACAGCTGTAGACTATATGTCTGTAAGTTGTTTTCCTCTTTATTTTTGGGGTTTCTCTTTTCTTTTGGGGATCGATTGTTAAAGAGGTCTGTAGTAATATGTTTAATTTCTTGGGTATTACAGAAATTGTTCACTTTGAAAAGTAGGCAATCAATGACACATCTTTATACTAGTTAAGAATTAGTATATATATATATATAAATTACTTACTAAATATTGTTAGGTGATTTTATAAGCCAAGACAATGTTAGTGCATGTTATTACTTACCCTTTTCAACATTGATAGTTCACATCTCAATCGCTGGATGGCATTATTTAAACCCAGTAGACAAAGCCGTTTGTTGTCATCTAGTGGTAAGTTAGCTGCGACCCAGTAAGAGAAGTCCAACGGAGTTTTTGGAGTTTTGTCTGTAGGTATAAAACAGTTCCACTTCTCAAGTTCCTGTCTGATTCTCTGTACTATCAAGATCTGAAGTAAATATAAAAATCACTTTTCAAGTTTCTCATTTTTTAATGGTTTTATATGTCTTCCTTGACAGTGGAGAATAGGACCCACCGATACAACTTTTATATGAATTGATACCAGTTGTTACATTCTATAACATAGTCAAAGTTAAGGATATTTGAAGAGCTACAGAAGTAAGTCCAAAACCTAACTTTTTCACACTTCCCAATTTTTTAAGTAGCCTTCCTGTCCTCTTTTTGTGGTTATCAACACAACTAGAATGTACACAGGCTTCCATATAGTTATAATATTCTGTCAATGAAGATTAAATTAAGAACTTTAACTGTTTTTAAAATAAAACACAAACTCTTTCACTACAACATACCAAGGAGATTGAAAAGTTTTTGTTGGAGTTAATAATTAAACATGTTAAAGCTGAAAACTAATAAAATGTGTCATACCTTTAGTAGTTAAATTAGCATCAGGATACAAAATCATTGATTTTAATACAAACAAACCTTTATAATAACTTATACATAAAATAAGTGAAATCAAACACCAAACATTACACTGAGTCGATTGTATGAAAACATAGAAAGGGGGAATACACTTCTTAATGCTTGCTTTATTAATGTTAGTGAAGAACATCCAGACACACTACACAATGGAAATATAATGTTTATTAACTGAAAAATATATTGTGATATGAATGGAAATGCTTAAATTAATATACCACTATCTACCATTATGGCACGCTGAAAGGTTAAGGTGAAGTAAACTTAAAAAAATCTTACAGCATCATATTGGTGATAAACCCATCGTGGCCACCTCGTATAATTAGCAAAGTCAAATCTGTCATACTGGAAAGAAAATTCAACACTATTAGTTTAAACAGAAATTGAAACAAATTTTCTGGTATGAAAACAGTCCACATAAAAAAGGTATTTTATTAATGTATTATTTGTTACAAAAATAAAACTTCTTGCTGTCATACTAAAAATGTTAATGTATTATTTGTTATACAAATTAAAACTTCTTGCTGTCATACTAAACATGTTAATGCATTATTTGTTACAAAAATTAAAACTTCTTGCTGTCACACTAAACATGTTAATGTATTATTTGTTATACAAATTAAAACTTCTTGCTGTCATACTAAACATGTTAATGTATTATTTGTTACAAAAATTAAAACCCATCGTGTTAATGTATTATTTGTTACAAAAATTAAAACTTCTTGCTGTCATACTAAACATGTTAATGTATTATTTGTTATAAAAATTAAAACTTCTTGCTGTCACACTAAACATGTTAATGTATTATTTGTTATAACAAATTAAACTTC